CACTCATAAGTGAGAGTTGAACCATGAGAACACATGGACGCAGGGAGGGGAACATCAAACACCAGGGCCTGTCGGGTGGTAGGGACAAGGGAAGGGAGATTATTAGGACAAATACCTAATGCATGGGTGGCTTAAAATCTAGATGATGGGTTGATAGGTACAGCAAACTACCATGGCACATGTATACCTACGTAACAAACCTGCATGTTCTGTACATGTATCTTAGAACTTAAAGTAAAATAAAAATAAATAAATTAAATGGTATCCTCCATGTAATTTAGTTATTAATACAATCAAAGTCTTATGGAAGCAGCACCTGATCTTTGGAGAGGATAAGTGACTCTTCCAGGATCAACAGCTACTCTTTAGTTAGCAGGGGTGGGAACCCCATACCTGTGCAATTTTTCCATTAGAAGAGGTGTCTGCAGTTGGAAAGGCAAGGGCCACTCATGGGCTAGAAGCAACTCATGTTGTCTTTTGAAATGGCAAAGCCACATAGGAGTGAAAGTAAACTATTTCCCTTTTGGCCTTTCCTTTTGCAGTAGGCAGAGTTCAGCGTAAACCACTACTTACAATCCTCTAACAATTTCTCGCCCTTGTGTATTGATCTGACAAGGCTCTGGAGTACTTTGCCTCCCAAGGGCTCCAGGAACTGTTCTGAGTGTATCGATAAATGATGAAGCTGGCATCAGCCAGTCACAAACAGACCGGGAAAGGCAGGGAAAGTCGCAGGCAAAGAAGGAGAGAATGGGTGGAGATAGTCCTGAGAGTAGGGGGTTCCTGGGTGCATCCCCTCCCTGACAGCCCCCAAGGAATTCTGAGCCAGTGAGGCTGTTTGTCCTTCCGTTGTTCGTACTTGTGAAAAAATGCTTCCTAGCTGCAGGAGAAGGAGTCCCAATCCCCTTGGGTGGGAGGCACCAGAGTCTGGTGGTCCTGTCTGGAAGGGTCTCTGTTTTGGGGAACCTGGCACCATCAAGTACCTAGATTCCCCAAGATTCCTGGCCCCTAGGCTCCTGGTTTCCTTCTGTGGCACTGCAGCTCAGTACCGTTCTGCTTCCTCTGTCCCCTCCCAGCACCTACCCTCCTTAGTCCTGCTCTCTCTCAAGGTGACACAGAGCATTGGCCTCCATCACTGTCCTATCCCTGCTATATTCAATGGCAGGACTACGGGCCCTCCTGGTCCCAGGGGTCTCATTTCCTGATGGAGAAACTGATGAAGGGGAAGGAAAAGCGCTCCAGAAGAACCCGCCTGTGGTTCTGCTTTGTGATGCTCTCCCCTATCAACTCTAGTTCCCTCTTTCCATCCTTTTAAAAGTCCTCATTCTACGCCTGAAGGCAAAATTAGGGTTTACTGCTAGGGAAGGACAGGGAGCTCCAAGCTTGTCAATGCACCAGGTACTGTGCTGGGTCCTGTACCTGAGATTCTCAGATTTTCAGATAGGATCCTCAGAAAGATGCACAATAGCCCTTGTACCATGCCCATTCTATGATGGGGACGGAAGAAGAGGTAAGGCAAACCAGGTGTCACAGCTCATGAATGACGATGATCAGTGTTCCAGTCCCAGTCTACCTGGGACTCAGCCTCTTTCCAAGTATCCATCCAATCCCCTCTTATCCCATATCTGGAGCTTTCCAATGAGGGGACCCCCCCACCTCTGAAGGGTAGCGTTTGGGGACACCTTCTCCAAACTGGTCCATAGCATCCCACACCTTCTATTATCTATCTGCACAAGGTGCTGGGGCTTGGCTAAGAGGCTGCAGAGCATGGGGAGCCCAGCAGGACCCTGAACTGTTAATGGATTTTACAGAGTTATTGTCTACTATTAAGAAAAGCAATTAGCCAGGAGGCAGTGCCTAGACAAGGCTGCAATTCACGACATGGGTAGACCGCTTTGTATTTGTTTTCAGACCTCATTTGTCCAATGTGAGCAATTGGTACTGGGAAGCATTTCCATGTTTGTGGAGCTGCACACCCACTCTGGTCCTGGGCTTCTCCAAAGCACAAAGGGCCTCACTCACCTCTCCTAAGCCTGTGTGCATACCTGGGGTCACAACACAGAAAGCATGCGGGGTGGACCCGCGATGAACTGACATTTTCTGACAAAAAGGCTTCTTGGAGCTACTTCTTACTTGATGACGTGCTTGATGAGTCCATGAGGCAGTGAAGTTCTGGGTCTGGGAAGACCTCGGTCAGCCCCTTGCTCACTCGTTGCCTTTGTATGCATCTGTAAAATAGTGATAATAATTAGGGAATCAGAGAGAATAGATGTACAATACCCAATACAGAGTTGCTTGTAAATAATAATAGTAATTATTATTACTATTATTTCATCTTGTAGTGGCCCAATTATCAGCCGAGATCTAGCACACACCGTAGGAGGACAGCTCCTGAGAGGAGACAGGTGCATCCCTCGGGGAAGAGGCCCCGAGGAGGCATCGGACACCAGTGGGCTCCAGGGGAGCTCAGCTGGGCAGAAGCCAATGTGAGAAGTTAGTTGTAGTACAGGCCCCCATCACAAGTCTGGGGTTCAAGGTCAAGAGTCTGCTCCAGGGAAGAGCGGGCAGAGCCGCAGAATACTCCAGCAACCCACAGCAGCAGAGTTTACTTAATCTTTACCTGCGAACACCAATCCTGAGCACTCCCTTCATGTCAATTTCCCCTTCAGCCCCAGACTCACCCCCTCAGTGAGGCACTGATATGTTCCCAGCATGCAATTGGGGACTTGAGGCTCAGAGATGCCAAGTGACTTACCCCAGGTCACACAGATTGGAAGCAGAAGATTGAGGATGCCCACCCAGGCTTGCTGGGAGAGCAGATCAGCATTTCCACATGACAGGATCCCTTGAGGCTTGGAGATATGATTTCTCAACTTGCAGTCTTCTTTCTTATCCTAAAAGTAGCCAGCAGTTCAGCAAAATAAGGTCAGCATGTGAAACCCAAAACCATGAGCTTAATAACTCCTGGGTGGTCAGAACTGTGCCAGGTTCTGAGGGTCAGGCAACAACAGAGACTTATCCAGGTGCTCATGGTGTGAGTATCTGAGGCTGGTTTGCAGCAAATAATCAGGAGAGATTTATGGCTGCCTTGCCCCTCACCCACAATCTTTGCTAGCCTTCCCCTGGGGCCACCACCAATAATAACATTTAAAACTAAATAAAAGTTGCGGCTGGGAGTGGTGGCTCATGCCTATAATCCCAACACTTTGGGAGGCTGAGACAGGTGGATCACAGGGTCAAGAGATCGAGACCATCCTGGCCAACAGGGTGAAACCCTGTCTCTACTAAAAATACAAAAATTAGTTGGGTGTGGTGGCACACGCCTGTAACTCAGGAGGCTGAGGCAGGAGAATCGCTTGAACCCGGGAGGCGGAGGTTGCAGTGAGCTGAGATCGTGCCACTGCACTCCAGCCTGGGCAACAGAGCGAGACTCCATCTCAAAAAAAAAAAATTGCATGAGGGCAAGGCTCTTAGACCCACTTTCCTTTCAGATGTAAGTCCCTCCTCATGGCCCTTGTCTAAGTTGAGTTCCCCTAGACAGACCTTGACACAATGATATGATGCAAGTAGGTTTTTTTTTCTTTTTGGAAGTGAATCCAAGGAAGCGGTCATGGGGAGGGGACCAAAGAAAGCTGTCATGGTACATCCGCGAGCAGGGCACTGCTGTGGGCAACCGAAGCCCAATCCCACGGGGACTTCTGGGAGACTGGGCAGAACATGTCTCAGGTGTTCTACCCAAGGGGCGAGGAAGCTGGGGTACTTATCCACCAACACCGATTCACACGGGTCGAGGGCCTCTCCTGGAATTCTTCACCCTCCATACTTCTAGCCTGCCCTCTGCATAGGCGGACCATGCTCTGAGGCCAGAGGAATCCCTCAGGCAGAGAATCCCACCCCCTTGGAACAAAAAGTTTCCAATGGGGAAGACAAGTGCTAATAGTATGTGGACAGCCCCAAAGGTGTCTATTACTGTCTCTTCTGTAGAAATGTTGGAGCTGCCATGATGGGCTGCAGAGAAGAAGGGTCCAGGGAGCCCTGGGTCGTATCAGAGTTCCACTGTTAAGAGATGTGTGACCTTGGATGAGTTACTTTACTTGTCTCATCTTTAATTGCTTCATCCAGAAATGGAGTATAAAAGTACCTACATACTTAGGGTATTGAGAAGATTGAGTAAGATACTCTATATCAAGTGTCTGACTTCTGGAAAGCACTTAATAAATGATAGCTATCAATATCGTTATTCTTAATCACAAGCCAGATCATGTCATATAAGCCATAAATCACCTAAAAATTTGGAAAAGTGAGAGAACGATGTAGCGTGGGGGATTATTCTGGATGGGTGTCAAATGGAAGTTGGGACTGGCATTGAGCTTTGAGAAGTTACAGGATATTTTTAAAAGTATAAAATGAACATATCAACATTACAAAAAAAATTTGGAAGCACAGAGTAGAACATCCTATGCGCCCACATCCCAATATTCTTCTTTACAGGCCTGGTATTGTTTGCATGTTCCTGACGACTGTGATGCTGAGCATCTTCTCATAGACTTATGGGCCATTTGTATATCTTTGGAGAAATGTCGACTTATGTCCTTTACCCGTTTTTAATTGGGTTGTCCTTTTCATATTGAGCTGTAAGAGCTCTTTATATGTTTGGTTTAATGTTAATTTGCTTCTGTAAATTAATAGTGACATTGGACATTTTTCAAGCATCTATTTACTGGTTGTAATTAGTAAAGGAATTTAGATGGAAGCATGGTAGGGAGGATATCTTAGGCAGCAACGAGAACAAAGATGAACGTGCCCAGGTGGATATCATAAAAAGATAATTGTCCTATGATTCTTTAATTTTTTTCATTTAACACTTTTGTTGCATATATTTCCTGTTCCAAAAACTACATCATGTCACAAAATAGTGCGCATGATAAAAATAGCCTCTGTCTTCACAAATCACACAGCCTAGAGGGGCTGAGAGAGATTTATAAAGTTAAAAAAATACTTATGGATTGGTCTATGTGCCTGACGTCCTGGAAACAAAAAGGATGCAGAGTTAGGCAGCACTGCAGAGGGACCTAGTTCAGCTAGTTCAGAGAGTGATTCACGCTGGGTTTCCCAGAAGTCGACACGGAGAAGAGCTTGTGAGTGAGAGCCATGTGTTATGAAGTCTTCTCAGGACAACCCGGTGAGTGGGGAAGTGGGATGGTGGGTAGAATGGAGAGGGGAAGGAAACAAACAAGTGAGTGAATTTGAGCCAAATCCTTGTCAATCAACAGGGGAGCTCTGGACATAGCATAGGACAGAGTTTTTCCAATCGGATGAGGGTGCTGAAGCAGGTACACTTCAGCGCCCTTCAGCCCTGGGAACATACATCCCCAAGCCCTTGCATCCTTGCATTCAGACAAGTTGACTTCTGGGAACCAGAGAACAGACAGGCTGAAGAGGTTCAGGTGCCGGCTGATGAAAGTGAATACACCCAGGAAGCCAGTGTGCCAAAGATTGCCAAGAATCTGATCTAAGGAAATGGGAGCCTAAGGGTGGAATGCTGAGTGCGTCTGCAACAGATGGGCAGATCAGGGAAGGCTCTTCAGAAGTGACATTAAGGACGATGAGGAGCAGAGGAAGAGTCTAACAGGCAGAGGAAGGCAGGTAGGTGAAGGCCATCAAGTGGAAAGGGATCAGGTTTCTCCAGAAACTGAGAGAACCATAGAGGGTGGTAGATTGGAAAGAGGCCTTAGTAAGTTTTGCTCAAGGTTTCTTGTTTTACCAAGGGAAAACAGAAGAGAAGAGGGAGGCTCAGAGAGACCGAGTAACTTGCCCGATGTCACACAGCTAGCGATGTAACAGAGAGCTCAGGGCAGACCTCAATTCTGACATGCATGACCAGTTGTGGGGAATGCAAGATGCATGCAAGACCCTCTGCCTAAGGGTTGTGGGGAACTGGAGAGGCAACTCAGGGAGAGCAGAGAAACAGCATGGGCAAGAACACACAGACCACACCCCCCACGCCACCCCAGTGCACCCCCATACTTGCTATGATTCTTTCTTAGAGCAGAAAAGCTTCTCAAGTATATGGATGCAACTGAACAGACACAGTTATAAATAAAGTGACAGATACCATAGCAACAGGGGAAGCAAAGTGAAATACATCATTTTATTGTAAAGGGCAAAACCTACGCTATATATACAAGCGAGCGTCTCCTTCTTCTTTCCATCGCTTTTCTGCACAAACATTTCAGACTTCAGATGCAACAGGCCTGCCTCCTCAGCCAAGGCAATTCTGCTACAGAATGTATACCTATCTTTATACGTGTCTCTATTTGTGTTCAGTTATATAAAGTGTTCCTAAAGCTCTGTCTATAGAGATATGCTTTATGTTATTGATGTGTATATTTTATATCTGCAAAACACTGAGATGTAAGATACAGGTTCTGTGGCAGATTATATTTTCCAAAGATGACAACAACAGTATTTTTAAGAGAAGCCAGCCCCCATGTAAAACGTCCTTTTGCCCTGAGGCCATCATACTAGAGAGGCCAAAGATGGTACTCCAATCAAGAGTCTCAGCTGAGCCCAGGCTTCCAGCCATCCATGCCAAGGTGTCTGAGTCGGTAGTGAAATGACATTGGATGCTCCAACCAGCACATCCATCAGCCAAGCACTTCTGAGTAACCCCAGCAATGCTACAGAGAGCAAAGAATCAGACAAGTACTGGCCCAAATTTGGGACCCATTGACTTTGTGAGACGTAACAAAGTGGTTATTGCTTGAAGCCACTAAGTTTTGGGGGAGTTCCTTATACCACACTAGATAACTGGAATGGATACCCCATAAATATCAAGACAGCTGCCATGTGCTAAGTATCTAGCATGTGCCATAGTCTATGCTGAGACTTGACATGTACCACCTCATCTAATCCTCAAGTCAACAGCAAAAGATGAGAACAGCAAGAACAATCTCCACTTTTCAGATGAGGAGACGGAGGCTGAGAGGGTTCAGGAACTTGTCCATGGTCATGAGCAAGAACTGAGTGGGATCTAGGTCCCCTGGCTACAGCCCTCCTTCCTTACCACTGAGCAGACTGCCTCATTGCTGAGGTTTGATTTCTGGGTCCTCTTAGTCTTTTTTATGTGGGCCTACTTACACTTTTTTATTTTTTCAGAGAAACGGGATGCTATTATGCATACTGTCGTGTAACTTGCCATTTTCAGTTAACATATTTCCGAGTCAATACATATAGATCTATATTATCGTTGTAAATGGTCACAGTGCAGTGCATCAGATGGTTTTACTCTAATGCATTTAACCAGTCCTCCTGGAGATGGATATCTAGGTTGTTTAAAGCATTTTTTAACTGTTACAAATAATGTTTCAGAGAACTGCTTTGCACATATATCTTTGTGTACTGCTATAATTATTTTCCTAGAACAAATTCCTACACATCAATAAATTGAGTTCTGTAAAGATTGTGCTTAAATGCCTACAGTAGTATATATGAGCTCCTGTTTGCCCACGCCCTGGACAACATGGGAGTTTCTTCATTGTTTTTAATTTCACTACCATCTTTTCAATATTGGTTGAAAGTCCTGTGGAAGTTACTTTGGAGGTTAGAGTATAGACCTCATCCTTGCCTCTATGAAGCATCAAGAAAGGCCCTGGAATGGAGTAGCACAAGCCCTGTGTCAGACAGTGCCAGGGCTGAATCTTCAACTCTGCTACCTGCTATTATTGTAACCATGGACAGGTCACGTGACTCTTCTGAGCCAGTTTCTTTGTCTATAAAATGGGGATAAAAATAGAACCTCCTCATAGGATTCATGTGGCATGGCACAAACAAAACATGTAGTCTTGTACCTGACATATTGATAAATTATCACGGGATATCTTTCTGTGTGAGGGGAATGCCTCTCAGCATATCAGATCACAGAACGTCTGGAGTGCTGGAAGGAGGAAAGTAGTCTTGGGGGTGTGGAAGCACGTGAGGCAAGCAGCACTAGCTCATCCCCAGAGTTCCACTTTTCCCGAGGTTCCTCCACAATCTCTGATATTATCCCTGATACTCACTAAGTTACTGTTGAGGTCTGAGACAGCAGAATCCATAACATCACTTCAGTTCACAACAGCTGGTAAATTGGGAGATTTAAAAATAAAGTTTTATTATGGAAAAGCAGGATTGAAGAATGGGCACTAGCTGTGTGAACATACCTGGGCTTCTTAATCTGGCTCCCTTTGAACTGAACCTGAAAATTCCAAGTTGCAAGAGCAGCATTTGACCTGGCAGGGTTCCCCAACAGAGGAACAAGATGCCCACTGCCTCCACCCAGTCTCCCCAATTAGATAAATCTCTCTTCTGTCTTGGGCAGAAAACTGAGTACTTGGAGAACAGCTGGAAGTGCATGTTTGATCCAAAAGGGGAATGCTTTTCCCTCGAACAGTTACTGAAGACTCCTTGCCCTCCAGGTCCATTAAGATGATCAGACAGGGTTGCAGCTAAATATGCCCTCTCTCATGCATTCCCTGCAGCTATGGCATGTGCCTCTGATGGTCCACTTTCTCCTTGTTTCTAAACTCATTTCAAAATTGATTGGCTGAACTTTTAACATATTTAATTTAGAAAAGGTTCCTCCATCAGGCCAACAGGTGGCCCAAGTCTTGATGTAATTTTTGATCACTTTCCAGTATTCCTATAATGATCACCTCTTCCCTACACCCCAATTCCATAAATTATTTTGATTTTCACCCTCAGGGCACATTGATCAACACCATTTCCCCCTGAGCTTACTTAATACTGCCAGCTGCCTCAGTTTACCTCTCTCAGACCTGTGTAACCACTTGGCATGGCTATCCTGGAGTCCAAGAAATTTCCTCAATTGTGATCTGTACCTGGAGCTTTGGGAATTATATTCTAAACATTTTATTGAACCTAGAGTCCTTTCCTGAGAGTCACTCTGGTTTTCTCTCTCAGTTCTTGACACTTTCTCTTTTTATTAGATTTATTTGGTCCTTACTGCTTTCTATGACCTAGTAACAACAAAACCATTTATTTCCCACTGGCTCCATCTTTAAGAATGCTGGGCCCAGGTACATCTTTGCCTCCTTTCACACCTGTCCAGCTTGTCCTCTGGGACTTAACCTTCTTGGCTATCTAGACTTGACCCGGATCTCAAACACTACAAAAATCCCCTGCATTTTCCCAGGGTTTTCATCCCCTCATTTTTCTTTCCTGCTTGACAATAAAGAAAAACAATCATCCTCATTTTTCTTTCCTGCTTGACAATAAATCTGGTGTTTATTATCAAACAGTTGAATTATTCTATGATTTTAGAAGGAAAGGGTCCTACACAGAACTTTTTAGTATCTTTATTGTCTATCAGATTTGTGAAACTGTTATTACATTGTCTTCTAACTCAACCTGAGACATTAACATTAACCCTATGCCTTACGGGGCTCTGCTCCTCCTTTCGTCAAGGATAAATCCAACACTGGTTAGTGGGTGGAGCAACAATCCAGGACTCTGAAATCCAAATCACAGCCTGGGCTGATGTATCCGTGTGAGGGTGCAACTGATTTGCAGAACACGCGTGGGGCAGCTGATTCACTTAGCCTCGGCATTTCCATTTTAAGGTCTAATCCTCATCTATTAGTGCCTCTGTTGTCCACGTGGAATTTTGTAGCTTTTCCAATTTTAAGTCCTGGCTTAGAGTTCTTGCTGAGAAACATGGTAAAAGAACCATATATATATATTTCCTCCCACTGCTGACTAAAAAGCCCATAAACTGAAGCTCTGCCTGCACTGAGCTAGACCTTCCCTGAGCCTAAAAGACTCTTCTTCCTGTAAGTTGATGTTTGCCTCAGTGGTACTCACTCTAGTCAGAATCAGCTGGCAAGACTCCAGGATCAAGGTTCACCAATAGTCTATGGCTGGTGTCATTTAACAGTCACACACAAAACCATAGTAGAAAATGCTGCAAACCACAGGTGAAAATTGTGTAAGATCAAGGTTTTCTGAAGCACCAAAGCCTTCCACCTCGGCTGTGCTAGAAATGGTGTCTCTCTGCACTCTTTGGGGTTTCAAATGATAATTCCAATGACTATCTCTGAAGCTTCCACACAAATCTTTAACATGTGAAACTCTAAGAAGGATGACAGGTAATACCTGTATATCCTTCAAATTTGGAGTAGATCA